GATTGTACATTACGCAGAAATGATTATTAAAACAAAAAATAAATAATAAAAAAATGCGCAATAAACAGAAGACTCTATTCATTCGAACTGTATTTTAAATTTAAATCAACTTATTAAAGCCAAAAAGAAAGTCTCCTCATACAATTGATTTTCACTAAGTCTTCAACAAATAATTATTTTTAACACATATTTTAGTAAAAACAAAGTACTTGCATCTTTACTTACAAGTGTGCAAAAATTTTCTATAAGCAAAAAAAAGAAAGGCCACTTTTTTTTTCTATTTTCATAATTCATACTAGTGACCTTGTTCTGAGAATATGATTACCTGTGTCATTTGATCATGAAAGTTAGTTAATGAAAATGTACTATGTATTTTGATCTGATGTCTTAATTTAAGTAAAAAATTTGTTTCGTTACTACAACACAAGACAAGCCAATTATGTTTCATCGGTATTATTTTAACCAGTCTTTTTTTAGCCATCAATTCACGACACAAATGACAAATCGAAAAGACAACATTCTTTACAAGCCTCTTTAAAAAGAAAACATTTTTCAACAACTATACATACGCTTTATATATTCGTTGCTCGTTTTTTTTTCTTTTTTTTGCCTACCTGTCATCTCTATTATTGTATAAAAGTCACTCAAAGGAACTCATATACACTCCGAAAATAGTTGTTGTGTATAAGTGTCTCCCGGCACACAAAAAAAATCATCTAAAAAAAACTCTCGAATTGTAATCGAAGAAAAAATACATAAGATATCATTTATCAGTAACGATCAAGTAACATAATAAAGCAAACCTTCGTTTTTTTTTCTACCATATGAATCGGTGATATATTGTTTATATAGATGATGCATGAAAATATTGTTTATTGTTGTTAGTTACAAAGAACAGAATCGATAGTTTGATATTATTGAAAAGAAGACCTTCATAATAGTTTCACTAATAGGTTATTCTTCTTAAATATATTTCTATCATGGTTTCTTTTAAAAACATAATATAAAAAAAGAGTGTATGTATGTCTTGCGTAAAATATATATATATATCTTTTGTTTTTACAAAATTATATTAAATCATTGTTTTTTCTTATGAAAATTCTATAAAAATATTTTAACAGAAAAATTTGCATACTCTAAAAATCAGAATTGCTGAACTAGTAAAAATAAATACGATTCTTTGAAACACATGTATATAATTTATTCAATCATACAAACACTTCAAAAAACGAATAAATTGTAAAAATGTTTGTGTCAAAACATAGTGGGGTAAAAAAAAATTGTCAAAATTATTTTAATCATAAAAAACAGCTCTTTTTGAATATAAATAGATTTTGAATAGTTAATTAAAAATATAGAACATTTTATATTTTAAAAATAAGAAAAAAAAATGAAATTTTCTTGTCTATAAGAAGAATAGGTGAAATTTTATGTGTGAAATGATAATAAGAATGTTTTTTCTAAGAATCAAAAAGAAAATAAATGAATACCAATGTAACTGAATTTGTTGAATATAATTCTTTTCTTTTGTTTGTCATTACAAATCTTATCTTTTGTATCAACAGATGCTGAAAAATATTAAATAATTAATTTTAATCTTATTGACTAAGTATATATATATATTTAGCATTAACTATCCTTTATTCTTTCATTATACTGAACAAATATAATTCAAATAAACAAAACAAAACAGCTCTCTGCAGGCACCACTATTTTCTATAATATGGTGTACATGCGTGAAAGACAAAAAACATAATGAACAAATAAACAACGCAATAAACCAACAAGAGAGAAAAAGAGTAAATAAAATGAACAAAAGCAAATTATACACAAGTAAGACGAAATAAAATGAAAAAAAAACATATCATGTTTCAACAGATATATTCTCATAAATAAAGAAAAGAAAAGAAAGATTTGCATACAATTAAACAAGTATATATATTTTTTTCTTTCTAAGAGATCACTGTTCTGTTCGATTAATAATAGAATTTGTTGTATATCCAAGATCGGTAGCTAGTTCATCGATTAATAATGGATTAAGTGAAAAAAGATCGTATGTAAACATTCCATTAGTTGTTTTTGTAGACGTATCAATTAAATGATGTCGTTTAAAAAATGTTACAAATATAGTTAAATCATTTGTTGAATTTGATGCAAAACGATTATAAATATAAATTAATTTTGTTCGTAAATCATCATCAGTTAATACAGTTGGTAAATCATCATCATCATCATCATCATCTGTTGATAGATGACTATCATCGTTACTTTCATTTGTATCTGATAATGAATACGAATGATCAGAATGAAAATTTCTATTTGTTAAAATTTTTCTTGTATCATTTGTTACACATGTTGATGAAGATGGTGATATTTGATCATGTTCATGAGAATTTGATATTTGACGATGAACATTTATATCCTCATCACTTTGTCCATCAATATCCATTTCTGTTTGTGTATGATCATCTTCACTATGAAAAATATGTGTCGAAGGTGAACATGTTGTTGATGCAACAATTGGTGGTTCAACACTATCTGATCGTGATTGAGGTGTATTAATAGATGATATTGAAGGCAATATCGATATATCATTAGAAGATGTTGGAACATGATCATTATGAGATTGAATTAATCGAGATGGACTTCGAGTTGATTTTGATGGTGTTGGTGTACGACGACTATTATGATGAGATGATGATGATGATGACGACGATGATGATAATTTTGATGTTGACGATGGATGAGAATGTGGTGATGTATGACGATTTGATCTATCTTTTTGTTGTGATGAATGTCGAGATGAATTTGAAGCATGATTTGAACGACTATTATGATGAATTTGATGACTCGAACGATTACGTGAACGTGATCGAGAACGACTTCGTGAACGAGAACGATCTAATGAGAAATTTAATATATTTATGTTGAATCTTATATACAAAGAAATAATCTTTAATTATATAAACTTCGAGTAAACA